TATACATATTCATATATGTAAATAAAAATATATATCTGTATATAGTTTAGAATATTGAATAATAAATACATATATATGCTTTCTCATAGTTTCCTTTGAAATGGCTTTATCATCTTTTTGGTTTACTCACAAATTAATTAATAAACTTTGATGCTTTCTTTGTCCTGTGTCAAATCATACTTTGACCTAGACAATACTATCTTCATTTAAGGATGACATTTGTAGCTTGTACACACTCACTTTGTTTTCTGTCTTGCACTATGACACTGTTCACAAGCACAGTCCAGAATCTTTGTCTATATAACCACCCAGAAGTCACTAACAAGAATTGATACTGGCATTAAAATTCCAGTGTCATCTCTGCTCTGTTGGCATATAGTTTGTCTTACTTACTTTTAAAAAGTTGCTGACCAGATTAAAATATATTTAATTCCTGCAAAATAAAAGTTACAAATTGACACTCTTGGAGTCAAATCCAGCACCATGAAGATGGTCAGTTAGGTCACACTAACTTCTGCTGACATAGTTGGTGTGACTTTAGAAGGAAAGCACACTTACCAGGGTTCCACTAAATTGGCAGCATAATTCCATATTCCCAGTATGCACATTCATCCTACAGGCACATTCGTTTCCTTTCCTATTCCTTGAAGACATTACATTTACTGTCTATCCTCTAAGGAAAGCTGTACTTAGAGATTGAGTTATACAAAATTGCCATTTGCATAGATAGATAGGTTAGCAATACCCAATACTAGCACTTTCATATGATCTGACCATATTAGAAGATAAAATCAAAGAAAATTATGCAGACCTTGGTGATCTTTCCATTTCAAAACAATTTATTTTCTATTTTAAATCACAACAATCATGCAAAAGAAGTGATTTAATCCTGTGTGCAAAGCGTCATGTTAGACACCAAGGAATGACAAAGATATAAATGCACATATGCCTTTGAGGGTGCCCATAATTGGTTTTCATGGGGTGACTGGTCTTGTTTTCTATTAGATTATGAACTCTTTGAAGGCAGAGACTGAGTTTTATGTGCTCTGTTTTTTTTGTGTACTTAGCATCTGGCAGGTGTTAATAACTCTTTGTTAAGTGAATAGAAGGTAAGGAGAGAGAAAAGAAGAAAAAGGGAAGGAGAGAGGAATGGAGCCTCTAGATTGAGAAGCTGGACTTATCACAGAGAAAAAGAAGACAATGAAGAAATTACAGAGTTTTTAATAAATTTTTACGTTAGTAAGTTTTATACTTCAAACCATTGATTGAAATAGCTTTGGCTCTAGGTTGACTTTATGGTTTGTTTCCAAAAACCAAAATCAGTCCAAATAGATTTCTGCATTTCACCATAAATGTATGATAAACAGAAGTCATAAACAACAGTAATCAGGTGTCCTTTTTAATGGCAGCATGATCAGGGTGATAGATTTGTTAGGTGATGGTTATTTGGAATTATAAACTATATCATCTATTAAAAATTGGTTGCATGCAAATGAACCATTTCTAAAGCATTTTTCCTCTTATCAATATTGAAATTATCAAATTTTACATTTCAGTTCATTTCTAAGCAATCCATGGTGCAAATATTTTTTCCTACTTAAAAGTTTATTTAGAAAGGCATTTCCTTCATTAAGTAGCAACTTGCATCAAAAGAGCCAATACCTAAATTTATTTTTTCTCTTTTTACTGATGTTTGAGTGATATTAAAGGTGATGTAACTCTAACATTTCCAGAATATGGAAAAAGTAGCCATCAGTCACCTTGAGAAATTTATTAGACATGAATAAAATTTTGCTATAACAATAAATTTGCCATATGGTAAATTGCATTAGCCCTGCCATGTATAGATAGCACACTCCTTGATGTGTAATTGATAAAGATTCAACTTTCAGAAATTTAACAGAAAGAATTTTTTTATCTGTATTAAAAGCCTTAAAATATACTTAATCACTGAATAAGCAATTCCATTTTCAGGAAGTCATCCTACAGAAATAAAGTTAGGTTTAAAGATTTAACTATCATTGGTGAGAATGTGGGGGAAAAAGCACACTCATACATTGCTGGTGGGACTGCAAATTGGTGCAGCCAATGTGTAAAGCAATATGGAGATTCCTTGGAAATCTGGGAATGGAACCACCATTTGACCCAGCTATCCCTTTCCTCAGTCTATACTCAAAGGACTTAAAAACAGCATATTACAGGGACACAGTCACATCGATGTTAATAGTAGCACAATTCACAATAGCTAAACTGTGGAGCCAACCTAGATGTCCTTCAGTGGATAAATGGATAAAAAAAAATGTGGCATATATACACAATGGAATTTTACTCAGCATTAAAGAAGAACAATACCATGACATTTTCAGGTAAATGGATGGCATTGGAGAAGATAATGCTAAGCAAAGTCAGCCAATCCCAAAAAAACAAATACTGAATGTTTTCTCTGATATAAGGAGGCTAACTCATAGTGGGGTAGGGAGGGAGAGCATTGGAAGAACAGATGAATTCTAGATAGGGAAGACTGGTGGGAGGGAAAGGAAGGGGACAGAGGATTAGCCAGGATGGTGGAATATGATGGACATCATTATACAAAGCACATGTATGAAGACTTGAATAGGGTATCAACATACTTTAAATACAAACAGAAATGCAAAAATTGTGGTATATATGTGGATTAAGAATTGTAATGCAAAAAAAAAATAGCATTACCTTAGATTAGGTAGAGAAAAGTGAAAGGAGGGGAAGGTAAGGGATGTGGGGAGAAGAAAGATAGTAGAATGAAACAGACATTATTACTGTATGTATGTATGTGACTGTATGACCAATGTGATTCTGCAATATGTATACTCAGAAAAATGAGAAATTATATTTCTTCTATGTATGATACATCAAAGTATATAAGTACATTCTACTGTCATGTAAAACTAATTAAGACAAATTTTAAAAAAAGATTTAACTATCAAAGAATTTAATGTAATATCATTTATACTAATGAAAACATTATAAACAACTATAATGATCAATGATAATAGACTATTGTTTAGTCTTCTCATAATTTTATATTTTATAAATATATACATTTATATATAATTATATATAAATATTTATTTGTATTCATATATATAATATACATATTTTTTTATGTTTTATACTTTATAAAATATAATTATATATTGTAAATTTTAGATATTTTATCTGTATGGAATTTATTTTCACAAGAAAATATTCTTTATGGGTCACTTAAGAAAAGTAGGTTGCTTAATTATATATGTACATAAATGTATAAAGTATCTATTATATATTAATATACAATAATTCATAAGTGTATAATAATATATTAACATCCTATAATATATAATCATAATTATATACAGATATTATATAATAATATAATAGCATATAATACTATATGCTATATATAACATATGCAATATTATATACTATATAACACATAAATTATGTCAATATATAATATATAATAAAGTCATTATATATCATATATTAATTATAGATGTTATAGATGTGTGTAAATTGGGCATACTAGCATACACCTATAATCCCATAGATCAGGAAGGCAGAGGCAGGAGGATCACAAGTTGGAGGCCAGCTTAAGTAATTAAGAGCCTATTTTAAAACTAAAAAGGGCTAGGAATGTAACTCAGTGGTAGAGTACCCCGGGATTCCCTGAAAATTATATGAGTGTAAATATAACTTCATCTTCATAGAAGAATTATATGCACACTTTTTTTTAGAGGGGGATCAGACTTGCCAAGGTTTTTACTTCTCTGAAGAAGGAGTTAGATATGTTTAAAAAGTTTTAAGTTTCCTCTCTGCTTATTGCATTGTCTAGTTTTTCTTCAATGAGCTTTTAAATTAACACAAAACTTTTTCCAACAATTAAAAAAGAAATGCTACTGTCCAGTGGTTAGTGCTCATATCATTACTACCTATAAATACACTGTTGTTCTGAGGCTTTTATTACTAAAGTTGAAAAACAAACTGTGGTGATATACCTAAATAGTTAAAGTGGGTCTCTGTATCTATAAAAATCTCCATGATACTTGAAATTTTTCATGATAGAATTATAAATTTTTAACAAAGGAAAGGATTTTCCAGAGTATGCATTTCAACTCTCATATTATACACATGAAGTAATCAATATTTATAAAAATTAAGTGGCATGCTCCGGAACTTATGACTAAATTTTAGTAGGGTTAATATTAGAACCTGGTTTCTATGCAAATTTTTTTACTTAGTAAATTAATTGTCCACTTCATATGAAAAACAATCTCATTTTATTTGACTAAAAATGAAAATAGAAAGATGTGGACAGCAAAAAAAATCTCCATGAGAAATAACTGTCTCAGATGTTTCACAACATCACATTGCACACCTTAACTATGTACAATTTTTATCTGTCAGTTACATCTCAGTAAAAGCATTTTAAAAGCTGAAATAAAAGCATTACCTCAATATTTAGGAATAGCCACCTCCAAAAAGTTACAGTGAAAGAAAAATTTCTAAATCTGAGTTAAAGTATAAGTCATTATTTCCGCCATTTGAAGTAAAATTATTCAAAATATAAAATTCAAAGGCCTCCCCTTTTATGAGAGTTTGATATTTTATTCTGAGGAAAAACTAATTTGTGGCCATTTTTATTTTCTATTTCAGAGAAAAAGATTATCTGAAAACAGAAAACACTTTCACTTCAATTTTAAATAATAAATTCCCTTGTGCATAGCTCTTATTATAAAAGTAACAAATTTGAAATACAAAATTTTGAAAAATCACCAAAAATTCTATCACTCAGAGACAAGCACTAATAACATTTTGGTGTCTATTCATTAAGGTAATGCTTATTTTTATATGAAACTGTGGCTGCTGCCTTCTACCCTGGATGCCTCCAGAATTTTCTGGGGTGGTGAGTAATGAAAGTAACATGATACCAGCAACCCTTAAAAACAATACATTCACATCTCCTTCCATCTCCTTTCCTCCAGGACAGATATCAGTGGATGGATTTATGCGTTATCTGAGTGGAGAAGAAAATGGAGTCGTTTCACCTGAGAAACTGGATTTGAATGAAGACATGTCTCAGCCCCTGTCTCACTATTTCATTAATTCCTCGCACAACACCTACCTCACAGGTATGAATTCACCATTTTATGACTGTTACTATGGGCAGTCTCACCAAATTTCAGTAATCTCTAGTTTCTCTTGTTTCAAAGTGTAGGAGAATTTTCTTCTGCTTCCTCAGAAATGCCTCTGGGAACTCTGGGGTTCCACCACCAAAGTCTCCACCCTTAATAAGCAGCCATATCCCTGTTTGTGAAGCAATATCACCATTTCTCCAGACCTAAGTTTTCAAGTCTTTTAAATGTACCCATACCTATTAGCTTCAGACCAATGGAATTTTGTATAATGGAATCAAATCTTATGTTCAAAGCCACTTACAATCCCACCTACCTCTGTGGGCTGTGTTCATCTACAGAAGAGTTCCATGGCTCTTAATAACTTCTACTGAAGGCAAATTGATTTTGTTCAAGGTGAAACAGGGTGTTAAACAAAAACAAATTGATCTGTGAATAGTAATTTATTCCTGATAGTAAAAATTATAATAAAGCAGGAAAAAACAATTATATGTTTCCTTTATTGATCATAAATTGAATTCTGTCATGGTTTTGGGGAGATCATTAACCCATTCAATCCCAAACTTTTAATTCTTTGAATATTTAAATAAAATCAACAAAGGTACATTAAAATAGGTTGGAAATCATGATACAGAACTTACACACATAAAACTATGCTAATATTAGTTAATATTAATATTATTATAGTTATTATATTACAACCTAATTATATTCTTCTTATTATGTATTATATCATTATATTATATACTATGTTAAAATTTTTATAGCTATTCCACACCTGGAACAATGGTAAAAATGGATTACATAGGAAAATACTAAAATATATTTTACATACTTATATACACATAATTTAAACAAACATACACATATATGTTGTCTTATCATAGTGTAGAATTAACAATTTAATATAGATTTTAATTAGCTGAGAATAATCAAAATGCATTTCTTCTAAAATACTTTCTGTATAGCAGATCTCTAGTGGCAATTCTTAAAAAGTCTTTCTAGAAAACCTGAAGCTGGGAGAAAAATAAAAACACCTTTCTAAAACCACATCCCATTCTTGCTTCATACATCCTCACATATATAAGATAGCCAGATCTAACACAACAGAACTGAAGTCTGGGTCTCATTTGCTATTTGTGTTTTGTAAATGCTCTCCTTGCCATGGGGGTGGTTTTGATGTGTTCTTGGCTCATTGTCCAGGGGTGTATGGTTTGTACTGCAGGGTAGACCACCAGTGAAAATGCCTATAAAGACAAGAGAGACCCAGGCACTGAATAGCCATAAAGGTGTCCATGAAAATTCCACAGGGTTTAGCAATCTGACAACTGAACAGTTCTTTTTTAAAAAAAATTCTTTAAAAGATTTATTCCTTCTGCCTTCAAATGCACACTTTGTTGGTATCAAATCTAGCATTGGCCCAATATCCCATAATGGGTGAAAAAGAACTTAGAAATTATTCTTCAACAGCAATGTTGCTTCTCGACAGCCAGAATGGGCTATCTCAGAGTGATTGCCCATAATTTGAGACCATCTAGTAAGAATCATATGGTCTGAGTTCTGTAGACATTTGACCTAACTAGACATTTGAACTGCAACGTGCATGTTTTTCATGAGAACTGAAAGGCTTTCAGACTACTTACACCCAATTTTATTTCAACTGACATTCTCTAGAAAAGCTCTGCCACAAAACTAAATTCATGTTTGGCTCCTCCTAAACTCTATTCTGGTTACTTATTGCTGTATAACAAACCACTCCAAAGGGTGTCCAAAGTTTAGTATCATAAAACAAGCAATATTTTACTTTGATCCATATTCTGTGAATCAGGAATTCAGATAGTGAATAGAATACAGGAGACTGTATGTCTCTGATCCATTGTGTCCTAGTTTTTACCTCAGAAGTGACTGGGAGAAGAAGGGGTGACTCAATTAAAGAGCCTGCTGCTGGAATCATCTGGAGTCTTCTCCATCATATCTGGCCCCACAGCTAGAATGACCCAACAACTAGGTTCAGTTAGGACTAGGAACCCAATTTTTACAAGAGGCCTCACCATGTAGCTTGGGCTTCCTTAGAGCATGGCAACCCGAGGGTAGGGAGGCTTCTTACATGGATGGCAACTCAGAGATGCAAGAACAAGTATCCCAGGTAACAAGGAAGCTTAACTGCCTTTACACTTAACTCCTGAAGCCCTATAATGTCACTCCTTTCTGCATTTGTCTAGAGTCACAATCCCACTTAGATTCAAAGGGTACATAAACCACAGCTCTCAATAGGAAAGTGACAAAGAATTTTCAGTGCTACTTAAAACTACAACAGGTTCCATAATTTCAGGAGAAGAATGTCCACTTAAACACCCTTTGGATTCAGTTCTTTAGGCCTTCTACAAAAACTGCAGCTCCATTCACATCCAAGCTCATAAGCCTTTATGAGGGATTTTATTTTTCCTTCTTAAAGGTTCTTAATCTTATTTGGTGCCACTGACCTATTTGGTAGCCTATTGAAGCTTATAGACACTTCTCAGAATGTTAAAAACATAAAATAAAGTACCTGGGATTAAAGAGTAAATAAATTTCACTAAAATATTTTTAACAAATATTAAAAAACAATTTTGTGATAAAATAATATGTATCTTTTTAATTAACCATTTTAAATGAGTATAAGCAATATTTTGTCATACTTGCCGCAATTGGGTACCATAGGAAAGTATCTGTGATTTCTACTGGTAAAACAGTCACATATCCTGCTAAAACTACTGTGACTTGTCACCTACATTCATAATTGAAGAGAATTTAAATTTTGTGAAGATGTTATAATTAAAATTGTAACTTTTTTTCCCATCCAAGTTCATGGAGGTCTGTGAAATGTCAAGTTAAGAAGCTTTATCTTTGACTTGAGAGAATCCAAAGTATGATTTTAAAAACTTCAGCATATAATGATATCTTGCATTTATCATATACTTACTACAAGACTCAAAAAACACTTAAATATTTATCCAGCTGAATTTTGGATATGAGATTTTGTTTGCCCAAAAGTCACAATGCTGAGTAATTTTATAAAAGTCCTTTTAAGCCCAAAATGCCTGGGAATTGATGCCATGCAACTAAATTGATATATTTATATTCATTACTTTCTGTATCATATAATAAATGAGTCAGGAATATCAAAACAATTGAACAGCAATACCGATTGGATATATATTCCATTGTTTTCAACTTCTTTTGGAATATATTAAACTGTCCTCTTGAACATCATTAGGGTTTTCAGATTTTGTTTATGTGCATTCCACCACAGCCACTATTCTTTGAAGCTCAAATTATCTCAGCTTTGGCCACTGGGAACCCTTTTTTGCCTCTCAGTATGACCCATGGGTTTTGAAAATTCTCTTGCTTCCTGGCCCATAAATATTTTCAGAGTCACCTTTCTCCTGTCTGCTCCAGACATGGAATCATGTTTCTCCAGTGTATTCTGGATCCTTGTGGGGGAGAGCAAAAATAGTATAAGTGACAGCACTTTTGACCCTGCACTATGAAAGATTATTTCCAGATTATTTCTGTGAACAATCCAAGGAATTTGTGTTGTTGTTATTTTGTTTTTTGCTTTTTAGGGCATGGTTCAGAAAAATATTTTCACTTCTATCTTCCAACTTCAATTCTTGCATTTCCTTTTGCAGTCTTGATACCTAACAAATTATGCAGTTACTCATTTGCTTTACGGATGACATAATAATAGTTCTAAGAAAATTATTCATTATTAATGCAAACAATAAATTATGGAATATAATTCAAATTTCCCATTTAGTTTTTATTTTCAAACTGCATTTCACCAAGGATTTTCAAATTAATTTTATAACAGTCACTAATATGCACTGTTTTTGTGTGACTTTAGAACCACAGAAGTGATGGAGAATTTTAACTTCATTGTATTAGGTTATTTTAAATCTGAGGGTATTAGCATATTATGGATGACAATGCTCAGAAGATAGAGTTTTCCACTATTAGGAAAATGAAGGATTCAGGTTAGGTTTTAAAGAAAGAACTCAAGTAGTTGTTTCCAAATTTCTGTATCTGATTCATTCATTCTGTATATGATTGCTGATGAATTCTCCATCTAATTATTTAATTTCTAGTAGTATTAAATATACATATTTTCAAATATTCAATTTGTAATACTATGTGAACTCACTTAAATTCAATACTTATCTTAAATGATCTTGTAGTTTCTTATCTTTCTCCCTTTTCTGAACTATGTATCATTATACCAAGGTTTTTATTAGATAGATTTGCATAGAATGAAATAAATTCTCACAATAGTAACTTGTTCCAGTAAAAGCCAGGCTTTTGTCTTTCTGCAGGGGAATTAGAGAGAATTTCATATAAATAGAAAAAAAATCCATTAAAAAAATGTTAATACGGGCTCTTCAATATGGAAAGCAGTATGGAGATTTCTTGGAAAACTGGGAATGGACCCACCTTTTGTCCCAGCTATTCCACTCCTCGATATATACCCAAAGGACTTAAAAACAGCTTACTACAAGGACACAGTCACATCAATGTTTATAGCAGCACAATTCACAATAGCTAAACTGTGGAACTAGCCTAGTTGTCCTTCAGTAGATGAATGGATAAAGAAAATGTGGTATATATACACAAGGGAATATTGCTCAGCAATAAAAGAGAATAAAATCATGGAATTTTCAGGTAAATGGATGGAGTTGGAGAATATAATGCTAAGTGAAGTTAGCCAATCCCCAAAAAACAAATGCCAAAATGTTTTCTCTGATATAAGGAAGCTGATTCATAATAGGGTTGGGAGGGGGAGCATGGGAGGATTAGACAAACTCCAGATAGGGTAAAGAGGTGGGAGGGGAAGGGAAAGGGCATGGGGGTAGAAAAGATGGTGGAATGAGATGGACATCATTACCCTAAGTACATGAACGAAGACAAGAATGGTGTGAATATACTTTGTATACAACCAGGGATATGAAAAATTTTACTCT